AAATCAGCAGCGAAAAGGGTTGGTAGCAATTGAGTATATATTTATATGCTTTAAATGACCTTGTGAGACACTAATTACATCGATAAGTTAAAACAGCAAACAACCAATATGGCTCCAAGGTCATAGTATGCGAGGGGAATACAAACAGCGCTATACTGTAAAGACAAATGCTGCATTTGAGAAAAATTAGATATATATAACAATATGACGTATACTTTGATGACCTTAAATGATCTTCAGAGGTGAATTTCACGTCCATTATCCATCAGGTGATCAGGGCTTGCACTAATTGATCGGTTTGCAGCTTCCAGTCACAGATTTCTCGGAATATATGCTGAGATATGTTGTGTCAGATCTTGCTTTCGGTTCTTCTGATATATGTGCTTTGGTATTTATATTTAAATTCATGCTTACAATTAGAAGCAAGCAGATAGCAGGACCTATCAACCTTAGAATGTTTTCTTAATCAGTAATTTATCCGGCGAAATGCAACTGACTTAGTAGCTAGATACATTGTTTTGAGCTCAAAATGCAACCAGCATTTAATTCTTCCAAATACTTTGTCACCTTCAGAGGCAAGTTTTAGGAAAACAGGTTTCTTCTCAAATAATGGAGAAGATTTGTAACTCAGGTGGATGGTTTCGATTTAGTTGTGTTCTCCGAATTGGTTTATTTAGTTGCAAAGCTTTCGTCGTCCACCTTCTAAACAACATCTTCAGCCAGCACAGGTTAGAGTATAAAATGCGTAGGTGGCACAGTGGTCCGGGGTTCGATCCCCTGCCGACGCACACCCGATATCTATGGTCGGCCTGCAAAATTTGGGCTACCGATATCCATGCTAAAAATGCCATGCTTGTACTGAAAATACGGTGTGGCATCAAGCTGTAACCAAAATAAAAAAAAATAAAAAAAATAAATTATTTGAATTTCCCATGAATAATGTAACTACATCTCCTGGTGGCCACTTTCGTGACTGGTTGTTCGTTAATTTATGTCTCTATTGATTACTTTGATTGACTTGAAATTCGAACTTTCTTGTCGTATGATTTACTTTCTACTAGTTGGTAAATTTGGTCTATAATAATGTGTTTGTTAATTGCTGG